AATGAGACTGCAGCATAATTCTCTGGAAGAAATCTTCAAAGTGCTAAGGAAAAATAGCTGTTGATTTAGACTTCTACACCCTGCTAAAATACTGTTCAAGCATAAAGACAAATAAAATGACGTCAAACAGAGAAGAACTACTTCAGAAGAAGAAAACCAAACCTCAAAGGAAAGAGTAGATTTCACAGGTCAATAGTGAGAGAGAAAAATCAGTAAGCATTGACTGTGCTAATGATTGCTTAGGTCCCTAACAGTAACACGGAGGATGGGGAATCAGAGATGAAATCTTCTAAGGTTCTTGTATTATTTAGGAAAATAGAAATAACCACTTTAGACTTTATTAAGTCAAGAATGCATGTTAAAAACTTATGGGTAACTAATAGAATTAGAATGAATAACTTTTAAATCAGTAAAACAAAAAAAACAATACAAAAATTCAACAGAAAGGAGAAAAAAAGAACAAAGAAAATATGTACACAAGCAAAAAAGAAATGATTCCAAAGAATTATTATGCTAGATGAAAAGGGATTAAATTTCCCAACTAAAAGGCAAGAGACTGTCAGATTCAGTCACTAAACTCCTAAATGAGTATCTGGTAAAAATAAAACAAGACACAATCACATTTGCACAAGGAGACCTGTCCAAGGACATTGAACATAACTGTTAATTGGAAACCTTTATGTTCATCCAAAAAGAAAAAAAGAAAACCACCAGATAAAATGGTATAAGAAATTCTAACACTAAAATAACACAGAGAAGTTAAACCTAATAAATTAAATCTTTAAGATTCAACATGGATTCATCTCAAAATATAATGTTGACTGAAAAAAGTTATTTGAAAAAGTATAAACAGTATACCATTTAGCTAAATTTGAAAAAACTATCTCAGAATAGACTATATATTGTCATGTATACATACATATGTGGTAAAATCATAAAAACACATCCAAAGAAACATATGAACTTTAGAAGAAAGTAACATCTGAGGAGCTGTACTTTAAATGCATTTTGTAATGTTTTCTTTTACAGGGAAAAAATTCAAACCAATAAGAAAATGTGCATAGATGTCATTTATGTGATTTTATTTTCCATATTTTAAAGTAGTTCCAAAATTAAAATTTAATATGAAAATTGCAAAGAGAAAGAAAGGAGTTTTGGATCTGTGTCAATCCTGATCCATCTATCCAGCTAGCTATCAATCACTGTTTTAAAATTACATTTTAAATGTCTGAAAGTGTGTGCATAGGAAGATTTTCTCATACTACTCACAGCATACAGCTCTAACTGCAAGGAAATAAATACTCAAAAAATAATCTTGTTTGAAATCTATCATTTGTTTTTGTTAAATAAGTAAAGCCGTGGTTCTGGCATTTGCTTTTTTCTATCCTAGTGCTCAGGACACATTTATGAACCACACCAACAATGGGAAGAAACAGCCGTCCTGCAAGCCAGGGATGTGTGTGAGAGGATGCTAGAGGGCACATCCACCCGTGCCCTTTAATGGGAAGGAATGTGTCACGTTCCTTGGGGACGGGAAAGCAAAGCTAAAAAACCACTGCTCTGTAGCCAAGTCCTTCATAGCTTCACAGGGGAACTGATCCCGGAGTGGAGTCCTCGAAGATGAGATGGAGGCTGTCAAACCGAGGAGGGCTTGGGCCAGAAAGGAGGAGGGAGTTTTTAAGGGGTAGGGACCAAAGCCTGGTGCTGGAGGGGGGAGCGGCGAGTTGAGCAGAGCTGGGCACAGCTGACAGGTAAGAAAGCTCAGGGGTCCCTCCTAAGGACAGGCCAGCCGGCAGTTCTCTCGGTTCAAAGCCACGCGGACGGTGCAGCACTGAGCCCCAGGACCAGTGCGCGGGAGCAGGCGGACAGGGCCGGGCCCTCCTGAGCTGTAACAAACCAAGCCCTCAGGTCCTCTCTGCTTCGGGGGGTGAGGCCCGCGGCAGAGGCGAGTAGACGCCAGGCAGCAGGACGGCCGCTGCCCAAGCGGCACCCGGGTTTATATGCGAACGCAAAGGAGTCAGCGGCGGCTCAGGCAGCCCGCAGCGCAGGACGAGGGAGACTCGTCCCACCTGGATGTACACCGCGTAACTCACAGAAGCTGCAATTTCAAATCGGGCCGATGGGATGCCCAACCTGGGGTTTGGGGACAAGAGGGCAGACATGTAGATAGTTTTTTAAAAAACAGTAGGGCATTTATTCAGATGAAATATGCCCCGAATCTTCGGGTAGACAGGAACACAAGATTTTTATGTTTGCCGTGAGGGAACTTTCACAAAGCTGAGCGATGCAAACTAGGTTGTTTCCCTTCTATAGCTTCAATTTTATTTCTGAATAAGATGATCACCATTGACTGTGATCTTAGACAACACCTAATTTAGCAAGTAAACGCTAAAAGGCTTGCCATAAGTCCTATACTTTCGATCTAAAACATCCCACTGTTCAAATATACTTCTAATCGGGGATCTACAACTTTTTCCTGGAAATAAAAACTAAGTTCATGAGATAACTGAAAGTAGTGCCACAACTCTCCTTTTCATTTTCTACCAAATGTATAAACTATGAACAAGTCTACGTTCTTTCTACATTTTAAACTCAGTTACTCGATTTTAAAACTGTCAATTATTTACTTTCTTCTAGTAATTTTAAAGTTTCTGTGTTCCTTTTTATCTCCCTTCGTTCAAGATTTCTCCTTCTTTGCTTTACTGACAATTTTATTTGTCTTAACCTAGAACTTGCAAAGGCAGCTATGGATTCTTGCCACAGGATTAAATAAACAAAAATATCAGTGACTAAATATTTATTTTTTTCAATTCTTTCCAGACCCAAATATGTAGATAAGCAAGAGGGTAAATAGAGACTAACGGTCATGACCATGCCAATTGTGTGACCCCAGGCAAATGGCTCTAACTCTTGGGATACTTCTCTGAAACAAGGAGCCCAGCTCGACTCCATGTTCACCTGTTCTGTTCTACAACTCCGTGGCTGCCCTCCTACATTTTAGTATTCTCTAGACTATAAATGCTAAGTTCAAAAATAAAAACCAGCTGCTAAAATGAAATTTTAAAACTTGACAAATGATACGTCATAATGCTATTCCTGATAAGTATATGTAAGTACAGAATAAAAGAAAAAAACAACAACCGAGTGTAAATATTTAAGCTGGAGTACCAGGGCTTATTTGGAACTCAGGCATATCTAATCTAGGTAAAGTTTATAATCTTAATTTAATTTAAGGAATCAATGCCCCCTTATCTATTACTTCTCTATGTACTTTAAATTGTGAGTTAAAATTGTTATTTTCCTCCTCCATATACAGTATTTCTTAAATCTCTACATTCAATGCTCAGGCACTGCTCAATGCCTTCTATTGGTCTCACAAAGCTGTGAGAAGAAAATCTATACTTATTATAATGCTTTCAGACCCCCCCAATTCATTCTTTCATACAAAGCGGCAATTAATACAGCACTTTCCTCTCTTCACCATGAAGTGATCTGTTTAAGAGAGGTTAAATTATGAAGTTATGGCTATATCTCTAGGGTTAGAGCAATATTTAAGGCATCAAGTGCTTAATTAAGCTCTATAAGACTTAATAATCTTACATATTTTTTTCTCTAGACTATTGCTATGTGTAAGCATAAACTCTATACAAGATTTCTTAAGGAAATCACTCTAGCATCTATCAATTACGGGAAAGGAAATGGTTCATTCTGAAAAACCTGCCAGCTTGCTGCAGTTTTGTCCCTTGAACACAGAGATGTTCCCAGTGCTGGGCCCAGGAGTCACTCCTGTGCACTGGCCCTGCCTCCAGTCCTGCAATATCCATCTTGGAGGCTAATTAAACTGCCTTCGTTCTAGAACAGGACAGAAAGAAAGCAAAAAAGGAGTTGTAAGCATTTGACAGAGTGTCAAGCATAAAAGCAATGATAGTAGCATCTAGCGTCCTAGTCACAAAATCATTACCGTGGCTTATGAAATATACACGTGGGAGAACAAGACACAGACCTCCCCCAGCTACAATACCTCCGATGATCAAATGCAGTGTTTACAGCGGCTCACACACCCACATCTACTCACACACAGCCAGCCACACTCAGGCAGAGAGACATCACAGCCCGAGGCTGACGGCAAATTTATTCTTTCTTAAAACACTAATTTTAAGATTCATATTGAGCTCTCCTCCCCTTTATCTTCTTTACTACTCCTTGAAGAATTAAAGCCACAATAAAAGGTTGAAAATCTAAATAGGACTGCCTAAAAATGTCTGTTTTATGTATCGCTTAATTCTCTACCCCAGAGCTGTAGCAATAGTTTTGTGTTGTAAGCCTGAAAGGTGAAGTCCTTCCCCTAAAAATGTACGCAAATTGTGCTTACCTCTGGAGGGCAGCCCCCTGCCCCCTCTTAGCTTTAAAGGCTATATAATTATACTTTGCAAAATAGGAAGGCCATAGTATTGATTCTGATTTGTCTTTCATCTTTGTGACCATTCAAACCTTAAATACATCTCATATCCACTCTTCTTACTTTTTAAAAAATAACCTGTCAAATCTCAAAGCTATTTACAGTTACATATCAGGATAGAGGCTGACTTACCACAAACACAACCAAACACTGGTAACACCCACTTCCTTCCTCCACACCCTGAACCAGAACCATCTATTAAATGCTTAATAATAAAATGCTCACAGATCTGTTTTTCACGTTTTGTTCATTTTCCACTCTGTATTCTGCTTGCCTAAGAGCATTTCTGAAATATCTAATTCTAAATATAATACGAAACATGAGAATCAAGAGCAAAGGCTTCTATTTTACATATTCCAGAAGGCATATGTGTGTGAACAACTCCGGCATTTTGAAAAATCAGTTTTAAAACATACTCAAAGTGCATTCAAGTATTTGCTCTCCCAGAATCCCCCACCCCTTCTTCATTTAGGAACACAATTCAGGACAGCGACATGAGCGCAGTCAAATGCGGGGAAGCCCGAGTTAACCTCGGACCTACCTCACAGAACATGTAGAGGGACAGCAACGTGAGCCCAAGGTTATACACCACTAAAATTCCCCGGCACGAGAACGGCTGCCTGTTCTTCATGTACTTTGGTCCCAGCCATACAATTAGTAAGTATATGATGGAGCAGATAAAAGTAGGTATATAATTGTCCAGAAGAAACCATCCTTTTACTCTGGTATCTGGAAAATAATAAAGTGACAATATTTAGTGATTAATAAGGTAGATACAAAAATTACCACATTTTTCAAATATTAAATTTTTTTCTCTCAAACCACAATGTTATAATAGTTTCCTAATACTAACGGTCCTGATACCAACAAAGCAACAAGGGGAAGTGTGAGTTTTCGATCTGCATCATACCAGGTGAAACTCCTTGCTACATGTTCTGAACAATAATGTATATATTACATATGCTTTTGCTAAGCAAAATAATAATTTAAAAAAATCCTTTCCAACAAATCTTTTAAAAAAAAGGAGAAAGCTAAATTTTCCATTAACTGGATTTATCACAGGCTTGTTAAATTATGCATGGGATAATGAAACCCTAGAAGCGGCAGTCTTTGAACTCTGCAGTCCTCCATCTCAGCCAAGCGCTAGCAGGCCCTCCCAGCATGTGCAGACTCAGGGACGTGCCACTTAGCCAGCTTAATGACAGTCCCTGATTCCACAGGCAGCATCTGCTGTGAGCCTGATGGTCACCAGCACAGGGCACAGCGATTGTTTGTGAGGGAGAAGCAGCAATGATCAGTAAGTGACTATTTAAGGTATTAAGAAACCATGTGAGGAGTAGAAGCTTGAGAGCGAAGACCTACATGGATTCAAGGGAGCTACTGGGATAGGAGAGAACTCCCTTGCTCCCATCCCTTTTCCGGGCAGAAGTGAGGGGGAAAAGGAAAATTCATTCTAAGTTGTTGCCGGCAGCAATGTGACAGCCTTCTCCTTGGATGGGATCAGTTCCCTGGCAGCCAGATGCCGAGGTGTTATCTGTCCACCGCAAGATTCAGCTTCCTCTTCTGGCTGACTCCCAGGGAGCCACCTCTGCAGCAGGTCCCCCTCCGCGTCCTGCTCTGGTGAGCTCCCAAAGCCTGTGGCTTCTCCAAGGCCCCCTGCTCGGGAGCTCAGAGGCACACGGAGGTTTCACCTCCTGCATCTTCTGAGACATGGCAGCGAGTGGGGACAGCTTCTGCCCCTTATCTGACCTCCTGGCTGGACTATCTTGCCATTCTCTCCAATGCTTTTTCCCTTGGCCTCACAGGACAAGACTATGTCTACTGGGAGGACCTACTGTCAGTCTGCTTTCTTGCAGACACCTTAAATTCTCCCAGCGTTTCCTGGCTTTCTCCCTTGGCTTCAGAGGGAGACGGCCTCCACCCTCTCCACTAGTTGTGCTAGGGTGGTAGAGGGTGCTACTCTCAGTTCTGCTGAACTTGTGGTTCTCAGAAGTCCTTCAGGGAAGTGGCCAGCCCCAGTGAACTCAACAAGGGGGTTCTTAACACCTTTGTTTTCAGCTGTCAATTCTGAGAAAACAAGTTGTCACTTAGCAACTAACATCAGATATTTGCGTGTATGTTATGTAACATAAACACAATGCACACACAAAAATCTCCCATTTCCTTTTACTTCAAGCTCGGTTTGCACCTTGCTTTTTAAGTTTTATAACATATCTTCATCCTTCCATTTTAGCAAGTATCCAACCTCCTTCCACAATGTACTTCCTGGGCGGCTGGCTCCGGCCCCAGGCGGGAAATCCTCAGGGATCTAGCTACTCGTGGTCATCCTAACCCACTCTGGTGACTGGTTCAGACAAGGGCATGTGAAGCACATATGGCCACTGAGCTTTGAGAAGATGATAGCTGGTGAAGGGCTCCGGGAAGAATTTCCTTGTTCTTAAATCCAAGCAAATGAGATTTCTTCTTCCTCCTCTGGAGGTGATGCCAGGAGCTGCTGCAGCCATCCTGCCATGACAGGAGGGGGACCTATTCTGAGGACAGAGCTGTTGCTTTACTGAGGATGCAAAGCAGAAAATCACAAGAACAGGGATCCTTGCTTAACAGCATAGAGCCACGGAAATAACTCAGGAGTTACCTGATCTCGTAATACAAGCTAGTAAATTTCATTACATTTCAGCCAGTTAAAATGGCATTTTTGGGTCCCATAAAGCTGAAGTGGGCATCGTCCCAATACAAGCAAGTACTGATGGGTCCAACTTGTTCTTTTTCATTGGTTACAAATGTATGTAACCCGTCACCTACTGATGGGCATCTAGGTTCTTGCCAGTTTTGACATGCAATGCTAGAAGGAGCATCCTGATACATATCTTTGCATAACTGATTAAGTTTTAGGATACATTCTTAGAAGTCGAACAGCTGAGTCAAAGGGCATGTGTCTTTTAATTTCAATAAAAGACACAACTACCTTCCAGAGAGGTTACGCCAACTTCGACTCCTTCTCCACATCCTCACTATTATCACAAATGGCATCACACACGATTTCATCTGTGCCACTGAAATACAGAATCTCTTGTTGCTTTCTTTGGTGTTTTAAAAATCATGAGTGAAACTCAGAATCTTTTTAAAGATCTGTTTTAAAACTGCAGTGGTTCTGTAAATTCTTTCTGTGATCCTAACAAGTTCCTTGTTTACAGATAAGACATTAAGAGACATTTTAGAAGACATTAAAGGAACGCAATATGGAGCTGACTTACTTCCTCAAAAATAATAAACGATTAAGAGACCCATAAAAAGTGAGTACAAGTGTATATATTTACTTGTTGACATGACACAACCTGAAAGAACATTAAAAAGCCCTAAAAATAGTCAAAGTGAAAGAGTTTTAAACTCCTAGTGCAGCAGCCCATTTTGGAAGACAGTTTCAGCTGGAGGCTCACAAGAACTGAGGAAAACATACAGGCAGTAATGGTGAAATCTTGGCATTTTCAGGCTACAAGCTTGACAGCAAAATTTGATCTCGTTAAAAGAAGCAGAGGGTAACAGTAGCTGTGTCTCTGCTCCAGCAGCCAGGGGACACTACACCACTTCAATAACCACCAAATGGCTTCTCCAAGCCCCTTGTTACCCAGGGCAAAGCATTAGTTTTATAATAAAAATTGCTAATGTTTTCTAGGAGCTCATCATGCAATATTTACAAGTGGCTATATCGGGGAAGGGGGAGGGTAGGGAGGGAAAGTAAGCAAAACCAAAACCACCTTACCTCGGGGGCCTAGCAATGCCTTGAAATAGGTACTAAGTGATGCATCAAAATTTTCCATTTTAAAACCTATTGAGAGAAAAGGACATTGATTAAACTCTACTCAATACTTTTTACGCAATAATTTTTCATAAAAGAATAAGAACAAATTATTTTCAAATATGCTATGGACAAGGTTAAATTTCTCATGCTAAAAAAATTTTTTTAAACTCACAAAAGTAACTTATGTGTTAGTTCTAATTTGAAAATTAAAACAAAAGACACAATCCTGTGAATTCAGTTCAGAAGTGCCAGTCTAAACTTCTCTCAGATCCATAAAAACTTCCCAGGAAGCTAAAATCTCAATGGCGGGAAGAGTGGAATCGGACGGAAAGGTGGCAGACAGGAGAGGATCCCATCCGACCAGAACCAGAGCGAAGACAAGCAAGACAGGAAGAGCTGCACGGAAGCAAGGAATGCCTCGGCGAAAAGGCGGGTTCCTCTGCTTGTTAGTTTTATTATCATCTTTAATACTGCATTCATGCCCACAGTAAAAAATTCAAATATTAGAAATGAAAACAGGTGGTAAAAAATCTCATCACTTCCCTCCAACCACAATCCTGAAGCCCCACTGCCAGAAGGAACCTCATGGGAAGATTTAATAGAAGACGCTTCCCAAGATTTTTGTTTTTGCAGCACAAAAGAGGTCACGCCAGATGGGTGTTTTTATCATTGTGGATTGTAGATGTAGATCATATATCAGTAGATGATCAAGTTAACTTAGAATTAAAAACAATGAACTGGCCCGGCCGGGCGTGGCTCAGCTGTTGAGCGTCGACCTAGGATCCAGGAGATCGCAGTTCGATTCCCGGTCAGGGAACATGCCCGGGTTGCAGGCTCGATCCCTAGTCAGGGGGTGCAGGAGGCAGCTGATCGATGAAGACTCTTATCACTGATGTCTCTCTCTCTTTCTCCCTCTTCCTTCCTTTCTCTGAAATCAATAAAGATATATTTTTTAAAAACCCAAAAAAACAAAAACAAAAAAAACCAATAAACTGGTCATAATAATCAAAATGAGAGAGAATGAATATTGTTTCATAAATCTTCAATGTTATTGTATCATATTTATAAATATGATGTCCTCAGCTGTGATGTAAAATATATCCTTACTATAGGGGGTGGTCACAGTAAAAAAGAAACTTAGAAAAATACTGTTATACTGAGAAGTGTATCTAGTAAGTCCTCACTTATCGTCTTCAATATGAACTGCGGCAACATGACATATAAATGAAATCAATTTTACCACAGGCTAATTGATAGAAACAAGAGTAAAATTCTTATAGCTTCTCATCAACATTACAACAAAAGGACGTTATTCAAGGACCTGCTGTATATTACTTGCTTGTTTTCACTTAATAAAACATCCTGAGGATAGTGTCATATTAATAATTACAAATCTAATTCCATCTTCCAACATTTCATAAATCCCTACGTTTCCCCCCTATTCAAGATTTACATTTACAGGGTAGCTAGGCATCTTTTCATATACAAATTGACTAGATTTTCTATATTAACATTGGGAGTATACATTTTCAACTTTCCTGGTCATTACTCTTACAGAAATAACCACAAATACTTTACCTTCCAAGAGCAAAGGCAAACATCAGTTTTATTAACCAAGCTATTAATCATTTAATGCTACCTCTCCCTCCTTGGCTCGCCATACTGAATTGTATGTGTTCTTTGGCTAATTCAGATTATCTAACAGGCTCTATTCAGCCCGGCTGTGAGATAAGAGATAACATGAAGCCATCAATGACACTGAAAGCAGTAGCTACCAAGGTTCCGGTCCTGACATCTGTCCAGCCCTGGAGGGAATTCAGGGAGGGGACTCACCATCCCAACCCATGGCTGGAAACAAAGAAGCTACCACACACCCAAGTGCCAACAATTAGGTACCACCTCTGTCCCTCACAGTTACACAATCAGCCCTACCTGGTTTGGCTCAGTGGTTAGAGTGTCGGCCCTTGGACTGAAGGGTCCTGGGTTTGATTCCGGCCAAGGGCACATACCTCAGTTACAGGCTCAATCCCTGGCCCCAGTGGGGGTGCAGGTAGGAGGCAACCAATTGATGTGTCCCTCTCACATCAGTATTTCTCGTTCTCTCTCTCTCCCTTCCACTCTCTCTGAAAAGCAATGGAAAAGATGTCCTCGAGTGAGAGTTAAAAAACAACAACAGTTATATAACCAGGCCACTAGGTCACTTCCAAAATTCAAAAATTAAATGGCCCTTTAACATACTTTATTCCTAAGACCATTCTTATCCTGAGTCATGTTCCTCCCTCAGACTGGCCTCTTCAGGGGACAAAAATTCTAGAACATCTTAAGAAGAATCTGTTTAACTTCACATTTCCTTAACAGAATTCCTCTTAAAAAAGATTCCATCCTTAAACAAGAAATACTTTCTCTATTAAAGGCTGTTAGAAATCATGCCGTTAAAAAAATGATAACCTTATCTATGTTTTCATAATCTATTGAAAATTATCTGGAAAATGCAAATTTTGGAAGACAACCATTATATTTTTGTGCAATCTAAATCACTCTAACACAATTCAACTCTGTCTTTGATGGACAGTAGGCCATGTCTATGGAGGGCTCAGGGTCCCCTGCACCTCAATCAAGAGCAAATAAAGAGACTCCTCAAGGAGGAACAAGGTCATAAAGGCCACGACTACTGGAAGAATTACTAAGGGACAAACTGTCACCCAGGGACAGACTTACTGTCTTCCAAGATATTTCAAATTTAGACCCTGCTATTACTTGCTCGGTATACAGCTAACTAATAGGTCTAATACTTAAGTATTAGGCACGAAGGAGGTGAGAGCAGACATAACAGACTGCCTGGCAGGCGATTAGGTGGTTCAATGCTGGGCTGTTTATCAGACAATTTGGGTTTGAAACTTATTTTTTCCACTTATTAGCAATGTGACTTTGGACATGTTATTTAACCTTCTATCTATAAAATGGGGGAAACAGTAATTGCCTCTTAAGGTTAAGAAGGTCAGATAGTGTCCACAGGGCAGTGCCTGGCATGCAGTAAGCCCTTGGTGAAGGTTTCCCACTGTGTTCGCTGCATAGCGAATACTGCCAACCACTTGTGGGCACTGGGCTTCTCTGCAGGTGCACTGCTGACACTCTGTCCCTGATCCCGTCCACTAAATGCCATCAGTGACCCCCAGTTGTTGTGATAACCCACAGTGTCCACTTCAAGTCCTATCACCCCCCAGGGGCACAGCAACACAGGTGGAGGAGTTGCTAACACCTCGGGAGAGAGGGACTTGCCAGTATGAGACATTACCTAAACAGGAAAGACAAGGCTAAAATGAGCATGCTAATTAAACACACAAATATCAAACACCTATTGTGTACAAGACTGCTGAACCAGAGTAAACACAAAGGAGACCTAGAACAAGCCAGACTTTCACAATGGGGAAAGAGCCAGATGCAAAGTCCAGCTGGCTGAAGATAGCTGTTAGAATGCTGCATACTAAAACAAGCTGTATACACATACTTGATACCAAGCTGTAAAAATAAGGTTTGAATAACAGTATTCTGGGACCTAACATCAGGAATGTCCCTGACAAAAGCAGTCAGGGGATCATGACAATTTTAAACTAAGAGGCCTTTTAGAGAGCTGTGACCAGTCTGGATTTCCATGTAAGGATTTAGAAAAGTTGGAAACAGGAGTAAAGAAATGGTTAAAAGTGATAGGAAACAGATCTGTGGGATGGTGTTGGGGGAGGAGGGAAGAACATGAGTGGACTTTTAAAAACATGAGGCCCTTAAGAAAGTGGTATAAATGACCTGTCATTACAAGGGCAATGCCCAGGACAAAGTTGAACTTGAGAAACTAGGCTAACACTATGGCAATAGAAAAACAGCTTGATTAAACATATGGCAAAATTTCAGTCCAAGCGGACTGAACCCAGCAGCAGGCTACCAAAGAGTGGGAAATTTAGTATTGGGAGATACTGAAGAATTCTGTTACGAGCCATCTGTCCTGAGTACTCCAAGTCGGAACTATCTTGAGTAGAGGCCCCGTGGAAGCATCCTGTCTTTCTCAGATGGGCCAGCTCCGCAAAAGCACACGCGAGGTGCCTCTGTCTCAGACTGCACTTCTCAGCTGGAGGAGTCTTCTCTTGGGTTTGCAGAACTTTTCACAGTCAAACTCAGGAGAGTATAAAATAGCTAGTGAAACATTCTCTGAAAAGACGTGTGTGGAAAATAACCAGAGTTCTCAGACAGAGTTGCTCATTTTTCTGGAAATGTCTGTGGTGAAAAGGAGGGAAAGATGTGCAGCGCTGGCCCCTGGAACACAGGCCCTGATCAGGTGAGTCCTGGTCCGGGAGTCACAGGCCCTGATCAGGTGAGTCCTGGCCCGGGAGTCACAGGCCTGATTCTGCGCTGGACTCTGACACGTTTTCCCCGAGCGGTCCCCCTACCCCACCCACAGCTGGACATGCACTGTCACCTTCTTAGACAGGGTGTTTGTTTTTACACAGGTCACCAAGGGACATCATCACAAAGGTTTACTTCCATCCTTTACTCCACACAGTGTTGTGCTTCTGTCTAGCTGGCCAGTATCTCCCATCCTGTGCTACCGGGTGCTCCTGCCTTCATTCATACCACACGCTTATGAGTGCCTCCCATGTGCCAGGCTCCCATCCTCTGCTACCGGGTGCTCCTGCCTTCACTCATGCCACACGCTTATGAGTGCCTCCCATGTGCCAGGCTCCCATCCTGCNAGGCCCTGATCAGGTGAGTCCTGGCCCGGGAGTCACAGGCCTGATTCTGCGCTGGACTCTGACACGTTTTCCCCGAGCGGTCCCCCTACCCCACCCACAGCTGGACATGCACTGTCACCTTCTTAGACAGGGTGTTTGTTTTTACACAGGTCACCAAGGGACATCATCACAAAGGTTTACTTCCATCCTTTACTCCACACAGTGTTGTGCTTCTGTCTAGCTGGCCAGTATCTCCCATCCTGTGCTACCGGGTGCTCCTGCCTTCATTCATACCACACGCTTATG